AGGCACTAGCAAGTGGCTAGCATAGCAGTCATGTGTAGAGATTGCCTTACAAAACACTGCAGTGTAACACGAGGGGCTGGCTTGTTGGGGTTTCTGTCCCGCCCAGTACACCACAGCCAGCAAGCCCAAAGAAAATTACACACAAGACTCCATAAGATTATAAACTGATTGGCCCATTAGGTCAGGCTTCTTGTTAACTCTTATAACTTATGTTACCCCATTATCCTTATCTACATTAGCCACATGGCTCCGTACCATTCTCAGCTGGGCAAGTTACATGCTGCCTCTTCGGTGGTCTGCGCAGGAGTGACAGAGGAACCTTCCTGCTTCCCAGAATTCTCCTGTTCTCATTGCATCACCTCTACTTCCTGTCTGGTTTTCCCGCCTATACTTCCTGCCTGGCCAATCAGTGTTTTATTAAAATACATGATTGACAGAATACAGATAATTCTCCCACACCATTTCCTTCTTTTTTTTTAAAAAAAAAAACAAAGGAAAATACCCATAGTCCATTTGTTGGGAATGTGGGCGTAGTATTTCAGGCTACTTCCTGCTGGTTGGGGGCGCTGATGATCTTATGGGGACCTAAAGAAAATTTAGAGTTATAATCAAGTCCTGACTGGAGTATCCTGTGAGTCTTGATCATCTCAGGCAGCAGTCTTGAACCTGTTCTGGATGAAGACCTCTGTCATCTGGGCCATCTGTTCCTACCAGAGATTTCTCAGGTGGTCTTCCTTTATGAAACCTGATTATTCTTAACTCAGAATTAAAGGTGTTTGCTACCACACCTTGAACTCACAGAGATCTGTCTCTGTCTCCCAGGCATTGGGATTAAAGTCGTGTGCTACCACACCTTGAAGTCACAGAAGTCAATCTCTACCTCTGTCCCTTGAAGTCACAGAGGTCAATATGCCTCTGCCTCCCAGGCATTGGGATTAAAGGTGTATACCACCACATCCTATGTCTCCCTTTCTTTCTTTTTTATTTTTAATGACTTTAACCTTTTAGCCTGCATATATTTTTAACACACTGTAAACCATTTAGAGGTTTTCTTCGTCTTTGAATCTCTTTTTACTGTATATCTCTCTTTTTCTGACCACATGAGTCTTTAAGGAGAGGACTAAAACTGTGGCTTTTACGGCTGGAATTAGCCCATTCCTTAGCTTTCCGGCCTCATGGCTGAGGTACCGACTGCAGCCATTTTTATTGCCACAACTCTATGGCGTTTCAAGGTCCCTGCCAGCAAGCAAGCTGCAACATTCCGCTCACAGACCACACTCAGTAGGACTGCCTGCCTGAAAGAGTCAGAGTTCGCCCTGGCAGGACAGCCCAGAAAGCTGGCATTTTAAAACAGTGCAGCTTTTTTCCTGCTGCGGCTGAAAACTGAAAAGCATGCGTTCAGCTTTTCATCAACACTGTTTAAGTTTTTCGTGGCAGGACCTCTTAATGAGCTGCAGGGTTTTGCAGCTAAAGCTGAGTCAGAAAGCCTCTCTTAGATGAGAGCCTTGCTTGCCTCTAGCAAGCAGAGCAGACCCGAGAAATTGCTGCTACCAAGAAAACATGCTTTACTCTATTCTTTCCCAAACTTTCTCAGGCTTTCTGTGGATGCAGTTATCCACGTGGGCACCATATGTAACATGATGGCCGGCTTGTTGGGATATCTGTCCCGCCTGGCACCCCACAGCCAGCAAGTCCCAAAGAAAATCAATCACACAGAGATCTCTATAAGTTATAAAGCTGATTATACATACATACATACATACAAGTACAATTTCTTTTGATTGAAAATGTCAGAAAATATTACTATCCAAAAGTTTAGTGGTTTTTTTTAATTGTGCTATGGAGGATATTCTGAAGGATGTCTCTGATATTCCTCTTACTTGGTTATTCCTGGGATTTGTCGCTTTTCTGGTGTTTGGCTATTTTATAAGGAAGATACAGTCCTTACAGACTGAATCTACAATGCTGAGGGCAGAGATTAAAACCTTAAGGACAATTCAGACTGACACCAACCTCCTCAAAACAGAGTTTGGAGTTCTCAAGGAGGAGACTAGATCTTTGTCGGATATGACTCGGTCGACTGCCTCATTCCAGCTTTCAAAGCTACATGGCTAGCTAGGTTCAGCAGTAGTAGTTGTGTGAAAAGCAGCAGAAAGGCTCCTTGGGCTAGGTGGAGGCTAGGCCATACAGTTAATACAGAACACTGTATAATGAAACCTGTACTTTATCCTCTTTAATCCTCGTGGACATGTTTTACTAAAAACCCAAGAAAAGGGGTCTGTGAGATCATGCCACCCCACCGACTGCTTTGTCTTCAGAATGAACAACTCAGTATCTTCATCATTGGTCATATATGTCTCATATGTTGCTTTTTTTCTTTTTCCCCTTGAACCTTCCTGCCCTTGCAAACTATGAAAAGCAAGAGCTCCATGCCTCCTGGGACATGCTGTTCACTCCGAGGTTGGGTTCCTGCGCAGAGTCCATTATTCCTCATGCTCTGCGCCTCCACCGCCTTGTGAGCGAAGCTGTGAAAATCAAAGGCACTGCACTTAGCTCTTTTTGTAAGGGTGAGCTGGCTAGTGCTCCTTCCTCTGTTGCCAAGGGGCAAGACCAAATCAATCATAAATGGTACCCCTCCCCCGAGCTTCAGCAGAATGAGTTCTTGAGCAGCTCGGCAAGAGCAGTGGAGCTCAGCAGTTCCAGCTCTAAGCAGGTCATCTCTGGGAGCCAGTGCTGGGCTCAGGAGAACGTGTCCGGTCAGCCCTCCTGGAGGCTTCCTATGGGACTCTCTCCACAAATCCCACTGGAACCTGGGGGCTCAGTTGAATTTGATCACAGAAACTGGAGGTACCTTGTGCTCCCTATGTCAGCCCAGGGTTTAGCTTCTTGCCTTGAAGGAACGCAGAGCTGAAAGACCCAGTACAGGCTGTTCCCTAGGAGCCCAGAAGCCCCTTCTGGAGAACTGGAAGGACAAAGGTGACTCTAACAAATAGGCTTAACCATACTCTATCACAAAGGGCTCTCCCCATCTTTAGACAGCACTCCTTTAAAAGCCTCAGGCTGGCTTGTTAGAACTTCTACCCAGAGGGCACTGCTCCCACCTCCACCCACTAGAGAATCTCTTGTCTGTCCTTTCAGTTCTTGGGGCCACTTTTCTCCAGTCTTGAAAACTTCTTCAGTAAAGTCCTCACATCTCAGAGAATATAAACTCCAAGTATTAAAAATTTGAACCAGGTACATTGGCACATGCTTACTATCCCAGCACTCAGGAAGCTGAAGCTTCTGATCCTAAGTTGTACCTCACAACAAATCTGCCTCAGATAGGTAGGTAGGCAGGCAGGCAGGCAGGCAGGCAGGCAGGCAGGCAGGCAGGCAGGCAGGCAGACAAACAGATAGATAGATAGATAGATAGATAGATAGATAGATAGATAGATAGATAGATAGATAGATAGATAGATAGATAGATAGATAGATGATAGATAGAAAGATAGATAGATAGATGATAGATAGAAAGATAGATAGATAGATAGATAGATAGATAGATAGATAGATAGATGAAAAGATTTACTGCTGGCTGTGTTAACAAGTAAAAGTCATGTAGACAATAAAATGTGTTAATGGCATATGGGTCATTTATGTGAAAGAGAAGTGTATACAGTGAAATAAACACTTGCTTTGGCCATGAAGTAATGCTTCATCAGTGTTTATCTAAAATTGCTTAATTTGACTGGGTGTGGTGGTACATTCCTTTAATCCTGGCACCAGGGAGGTGGAGCTTTGTGACTTTGAGGCTACTTAAGTTCCAGACACACTAGGGCTACTTGATAGTAGAATAAATAGTAGAAAAAAAGAAATGAAAAAAATTAAATAAATTAATCATTTAAATTACTTATGGGGATGGATGAGATGGCTTAGAGGGTAAAGGGTGCTTGCCACCAAACCTTTCCCACCACAGAGTGTAAAGAGAGAGCAGTCCTCTGACCTCTGCACATGTGCTCACGCATGTACACACACACACACAATGTAAGAGCAAGAAGCTGGTTAAGAAAGAAGCTGTGGGCTCTGTGTAGTTTTGCTGATGAGTATAAGAGGTGACTTGACTCTCCATTAGCATCTTCATGTGCAAATATGCTGGCTTAATTTCTTGAGAAACCGTTAGGGTTTCTGTCTCCAAACTCAGCCTGAAAGTGTCACGCTGGGTAAGCACACTTGCAAGTGCTGAGGAAGAAATAATGTATTTTTGGCCAGGCAGTGTGATGCACACCTTTAAACTCAAAGCTAGGGAAGCAGAAACGCTTAGGTCTCTGTGAGTTCAAGGCCGGTACAGCACACATTGTTCCAGACTGTACAGTGAGACTTTATCTGTAAAACAAACAAAAGCTAGATTTTTATCTATGGGTTGTTACCTTGTTTTATACATAGTTGTGCAGATGTGCATATAGTGAAACATGGAGAAAGAGTGCACCAAAGAGCAGTGGTGGTCCAGGTATTGCTGACTCAGGAGTGCGTATATGTGCAGGTACATCGTTGTAGTGGTGCTCTAGATATGCTTAGGGGCAACCAAGTAACTGTGATTGCTTAAAACTTAGTGAATCTCCAAATAAATTTAGTTTAGAAAATACTAAAGTGAAGGCTGGTATTTGTGTTGAACTTGTATCTTAAGTATTTGGTTATGAATGAATATTTTGGGTGGAAATTTATTACAATAGGTCAGATACAGCCTTGTCATCTAGGTCCTGATCACTTTCTTTTTAAACCTAAGAAGTTATTTCAGCAGATATTTTTATTACTATTCTCTTCTGCCTGCTGACCTGAGAGTTGGCATAATGAAAACAGTCAGTAGGTGCCATGAATCATTTGCATATAAAACCTGACCAGTCCAACTCAGGCTTTGAAAATCAGAAGCACACAGAAGATGGGTTGACTTAAGAAATGAGCCAGTTGACCGGTTGTATCATCAGTAATTCACTGCTTGTCTTTCTGATTTTCTTTTTCCCCAGAACCGAATGGAGGAGAGCAAAGCACTCTTTAGAACAATTATCACGTATCCCTGGTTCCAGAACTCCTCTGTTATTCTGTTCTTAAACAAGAAAGATCTTCTAGAGGAGAAAATTATGTATTCCCACCTAGTCGACTACTTCCCAGAATATGATGGTAAGTGGGCACCCTATGCCAGCCTCACAGCTGAGAAAGACTTTTACTGTTAACACTAGTGCAGTGCCCAGAGCCATGAGCCTATGGGGACTAGAAACAGCATGGTACCATGCCCAGAGCCATGGGGCCCATAGGGGCTAGAAGCAGCATGGTGCAGTGCCTGAAGCCACAGCTTCCATGGTGGCAAGCATGCTAAAGCACAAGTTATTGTCCCTTGACTTGTAATGACATAAAACATTTTATTCCTAATGCTTAAAAGCTATGGGGGAAGCAACAAGTTCTTAGTTGTTTCAAAATAACCATCTCAGAGAATAAACAATTCAGTAGCTTTTTCTATTAGCCACTGTAGTTTCCAGTTTCCCTCCCTTTTATTTTGTTACCCGTCCCTGCCTCTCTCTTGTAGAGAGCTCACCTCTGAAGTCTGTATACTGTATTGGTTACTTTCTGTTGTTAACCATGACCAAGGAACTTGGAGACGGTGGAGTCAGTCCATCATGATGGGGAAGCGTGGCAGCAAGCTTCAGGCATGATGGCTAGAGAGGTGAAACTGAGAGTACATCTTTAAAGCACATGCCAAAGCCTCCTCCATTCATAAGGACTGATGGAGTCATGGGTATATGACTTGGCATAGCACCGAACCCAGAGTAGGGCCACACCCCAGAGTCTTACAGGGTGAATGTAACAGCAGAAGTTACTACTACAAAATGACATCATTGACAAAGGAAACTGAGGCATCTGCACCGTAGTGGTTTTGTCCCTCCAAAAGCTCCCTAAGAAAGATACCTCCTTGGAGAGTAAAGATCCTTTTGGCTTCAAGCTTTCTTTGAAGGGTTAGGTGTCTTTTTGCCCTGCATGCTTTAGATACAGGAATGGAAATGTGGCGTGCTCACCAGCTTAAGTTTGCATCTCAAATGCATGATCGGGCATACAGCCAACTGTTTAGAGACAGGGACTTTTTTTGTTAGCAGCGTGTTCATATCTTTCCAAGTATCTTTTCCTGTTTGCCTGGCTACTTTAAAAGAGCAAATACTGTCTTAAACAGCATTTTCTCTTTGCTCTTTTCTATTTTCTCACTAACCCAGAAGCAAAGATCAATGCCCAAGATTGCCTCAGTATTCCTGAGGAAGCTGTGGAAGGAAATGACTATATGTGGTATACCTGCTCCCCTCAGTAGCAGACCACCCCTGTAAGCACATGGTCCAAGAACAGGAGAGAACCACCCATCCCAATATAAACACGAATCCCTGCCCGTACCCAGAAGGCAGGCTGAGAGTCAGTGGGTGGTGGGAAGAAGAGCTGCACCGTATGCAGCAGTGGCTCTGTGGGCCCGCTTTCCTGCTTGGCACAGACAGATAGCAGTGTGCAGCTGCGGAGTAGAAGCTCCCTGAGCCCAGCTGCTCCTCTGCAGCCACTTGCTAGCTGGCTGCACTGAGTTCTGGGTTTTCTGGAGTGAGTTTTTGCAGGAACGCCACTTTCTGTGCTATCTTCCTGATCGTCATCACTACGAGGGATTTCTTTCCAAAAGCAGCTTTCTGTAAATGTTTTAGAATTTGAAGATGATTTTAACTGTTGTCCTTTTGTAATAGACACATAATGTCCTGAGGAAATGTGGCCACAGATAAGTTAAAAAGGCAATAGTTTTGTTGATCTCAAGAAAACAAAATTGTTTCATGAGATCCAAAAGCCTTCAAAGATTAGCTAAGACTGAAAAAACTCTTGAGCACTCTACAGTGATGTTTAGTAATAAGCTTATTTAGATATTATCAGCTTCCAGCTGTACATATCTTCCTTGTGAGGTCTTAATCAGATGAATTCCATCTCTGTGTTTCTCTTCAGGAAGAGAAATGACTGTTTCCACATGGGCTTGTACTGCAGAATTGTTCCTAGAGACCTTGCAGTTCTGTGCCTGCTGTGTTGGCTATACCAATTTCTTGGTAGTCCTGTGTGCCCCAGTAAAATAATTTATGCTTAAAACACAGCACACTGTGAGTGCACGTCAGTGACCTCGAGTCTATTGCCGATGTTCTACAGAACTAACACAGCAGAAAAGGTTGGGGTCTTTTCCTTCCCAGAGTAAGAATATTAGGGAATTGGAGGGAAATGGCAGCCTTCTCCCACCCTGCCAGTCTCTTAGTCTCTGTGTTAAGTGTTCGTCGCTGCTGTGAGCGAGTAAGTTCTCAGTACATTGCTGAGGACAGACGACTGTTTCACATATGTCACATAGAAATAATGGCACACTTCATTTTTCATGTTGGCAGCCTTAGTCACTAGAACTTCAAAGCACCCCTGCTCCTCCTTGTACAAATGGGAAGACTCAAAGTCTTAGCTCTCTCCTGCAGCTCCAGGCAGTGTGGCATGTGGGTACGAGCCCAAATCTGAAATTGGGTTAATTTGAAAGTTTTCAGGTTTTCTACCTAAGAACCAGGATGAAGATCCTTAGAATTGGTTAGGCCTCAGCAGTGTTGGCTTATGTAGAACCAACCCACATTGTGAATCCTGGGAGGTTTTGCCAAGGAGAATAGAAGTGATACTTCTTTTACTGGTATAGAGCTAACTTGCCACAGTGGAGAGAAACAGACATGCAGTACCACAGTGTACCACAGTGCTCAGCACCTGAAAGGTGATGGTGTTTGTGTTAGTAATTTAGAAGTTTTAAACTAACATTTCCCAGACTCTGTTTCAGTGTTAAACTGCTTGATTGATACATGATTTGGGTGATCCTGCACATAGTTAGTTAGTTTTTAAATGTGATAAAATATATAGAACATTTAAACTATAATTGAAATATGTAATCACAACATAAATTACATATATGAGACTGCAGCTATTGCCAGTGCATCCACCACTCCAGCTAAGCAGTGATCCCCATTGCCTGTGCTCTCCCCTCCCCCATCACATGCCATCCCTTCCCTTTTCTGTCTCCAGCCTGTCTATAAGTCAAGTCAGTATTTGTCTGTGCCCAGCATGTTGATTTCAGGGTATATTTTAAAGTTTTATGCATGTTATACCATCTGTCAGAACTTCATTAACCACCTTTGGCTTATCCAGTTGAGTCAAATCACTTCTGTTTGCTTTTGCTACTAATGATAGTATACGTTCACCTATGAAATGCCCTCCTTTCGATTCATTTGGAGCATGTCTGCCTGTTACACGAATTGCTTGGTTATATGGCAATCATTGAACTGTTTTCCATGGTGGTGCTACCATTTTGCCTGCCTACCAATGGTAGACAGACAGGTGCAGACTTCACCTGTTACCAAAGTTTATTTTATCACTTTTTAAGTGATATCCAGGCTAGTAGCTGGGAAGACTACCTCATGATTTCACTTGGCATTCGCTAAATGAGTATCAGAGTTAAGCATCCTGTTTGCTCATTGCTTATTTGTTGCCTTCTTTTGTCTTTGTAAGTCTTTTGTCCAGTTTTAATCAGGTTGTTTACTTTTTGTTGATACATATGAGATACTTATATGTCCTAGGTGCTAAATTCATATCAGGTATGTAAATTGTATATATTTGATAATGTAGTTTAATAGCAAAAGAGTTTTTTAAATTTTTATTTATTTTTACTTTATGCGCATTGGTGTTTTGCCTGTGTGTATGTCTACATGAAAGATGTTAGATTCCCTGGAACTGGAGTTGTAGACAGTTGTTAACTGCCCTGTGGGTTGCTGGGAATTGAACCCTGATCCTCTGGAAGAACAGCCAGTGCTCTTAACAACTAAGCAATCTTTCTAGCCCTGCTTTTTTTTTTTTAATTTTGAGAAAGTCCTGTTTATTTTTCCTTTTACTGCTTCTGCATTGGGGTTGTATCTAAGAATCGACTACAAAATTATTATGCAAGTGTGCTGGTTTTTTGGTTTTTTTTGTCAGTTTAACATATGCTAGGGACATCTTGACAAAAGGACCCTTAATTGAGAAAATACCTCCATCAGATTGGCCTGTAAGCCAGTTCAAAGGACATTTTCTTGATTGATATAGGGCCCAGCGTACCATGACAGGCAGGTAGTGCTCAGTTGTATGGGAAAGCAGGTTGAGCAAGCCATGATGAATGGAATAGTAAGCAGCACTCCTCCATGACCTCTGCTTCGGTTCCTGCCTCCAGGTTCCTTCCCGCCTTAAATTCCTGCCCAGACTTTTCTTCATAATAGACTACAAGCTGAACTACACCTTCCCTCCCCAGATTGCTGTGGTCTTGTGTTTATCACCATAATAGAAAGCAACAAGGACAAAAAAATGTTTGCGTTTCATTTCTGTTGCTGTAATAAAATACCCTAACAAAAAGCAACTTAGGGGAGGAAAAGGGTTGTGTGATTTACAAGTCCTGGGTTCAGTCCATCATTGGGGGAAATCAAGGCAGGAGCGCAAGCAGGTAGTCATGCCACATTCATAGGCAAGAGTAAAGAGAATAAATGGATCTAGTTTTTTCTTACCGCGTAGTTCAGGACCCCACCTATGGACTGGGTCTCCGTACATCGATTAGCAATCCTCCACAGGCATCCCTGCAGACTGACCTGATCTAGATAATCTCTCAACTGAAACCCCCTTCTCGGGTGATTCTAGACTGTGACAGCTTGATATTTAAAACTAACCATCACAGGTTTTTAATTTATCTAAATCAAACCATCAGGGACAATGGATGAGGCATAGGAAATGGCATGTAAGTGTAAGAAGGTGCAAACCAATGCATAGCAGCACATAGTGAACTTAGTATAGACCTGGAATACAGATTAGTCTTCATGGGGCATACACAGTGTGTGCCGATTGAACAGAAGAACAAATGTGTAATGGATCACATAACAAACCCTTGGCTTCTTCTCTCTTGGCAAACAGGACCCCAGAGAGATGCCCAGGCAGCTCGAGAGTTCATCCTGAAGATGTTCGTGGACCTGAACCCCGACAGTGACAAAATTATCTATTCCCACTTCACCTGCGCCACAGACACCGAGAACATCCGCTTCGTCTTTGCTGCCGTCAAGGACACCATCCTGCAGCTGAACCTGAAGGAGTACAATCTGGTCTAACCGTGCCTCCCAGAAACCATTCTTCCCTTCCCTGTGGGCTGTTGAAGATAACCAAGAAGGACTGTATTTCTGTGGAAAAAAATTTGCATAATACTAATTTATTGCCGTCCTGGACTCTGTGAGCGTGTCCACAGAGCTGTAGTAAATATTATGATTTTATTTAAACTATTCAGAGGAAACAGAATGCTGAAGTACAGTCCCAGCACATTTCCTCCCCCTCTCTCTCTCTCTCTCTCTCTCTCTCTCTCTCTCTCCCTCCCTCCCTCCCTCCCTCCCTCCTTTTTTCTCTCTTTCTTTTTAGGCAAAACTTGTGACTCGATGTATTTTAAATTTTCGGTCACTCATTCACAATATGAAAACACTCCTACCATTTGTGTTCTCTCTCTCCCTCTCTCTCTCTCTCCATTCCTTTCCATCTTCCTCCTCCACCCTTTTCTGTTGACCAAAACAAAGCTGATTTTTCTTCTTCCTGTTCCATGCCCCCCTACTGATTTTGTTTTCTCATCTTACAATGGACTTTACCCTTGTTCCATTCTTGGTCAAGTTCCTTTCTTGAGTGATGCAGTCAGGACAGTGTCATTCGATTGAAGTAACCTTACATCAGCTTCATTTAACAGTGGTTGTACTGAAGGCGTGTATGTATTACTACTATGGTTCTAATGTATCTCTGGATGCACATCACATCTAGTATTTCTTTTTCAAATGCATACATATATATGTATATATATTGTCTTGTCTCACTTGGACTAGGACAGCAGGTGCCCATTGATGGTGGTGCAGAACTTCAGCCATAGCTGGGTTGTTCAGAGGAATGTCTGGAAGTCAGAGTGTGTGCTTACAGGCTATGAAGGAGTCCTTGCTACTACAGTCCATGTGCCATGTCCTTCTTCTCTTCCTTGCTTCCTTCTGTTTTTCTTTAGGTTTTTCACCCTCTCTGTAAACCACAGATGCCAAATGATATGCCAACAGACACTACATTCCCCAGCGCTGCTGCCAGAGCCACCTCGAGTCTATTCATTTTCTGTTTGTTTCTAGCTCTCCTTCCCTCTGGTCCCTTTTGTGTTTGGGCCATAATTTTAAAATAATTTTTGCTATGGGTATGTTTTGCCAAAGCCAGATTTTTATAAGACAAAATAAATCAAGAATTTAAACAGTAAAAGCCAGCGTCTCAACATGTAAGCATTAAGACAGTACAGCGAGGTGACAGCTGGGTGTGAACCGGAAACACACATTGCCAAACAGTTGCTAACTCAACTGCTTCTCATGGTCCGTTCTTTCTTTGCCCTTAAGGTCAGTGCCAGTGTCCAGGTGAGCAGTATAGAAAACTATCCTATGTGGTTTGTCATGAGAGCTGTTCATATCTCTTTACTGGCACCAGTGTTATTAGCTCTTTACGTTCTTTAAGTTTGAGTGAGTTTGCCAAGAACACTGGTTGATAGCATTATCCTGTAACTTTGATTGGGGGGGGGGGAGTAAGCTTGTTTTACCATGTTCAGGATCTTCTTGAACTGGTTGCTTGGACTTAAGGAAGATTTGTGGATTTTTTTTTTCAAAAGTCACTGCTCAGTGTTCTGTCAAGCATGTATTTATGCAACAATTACACTAGGAGAAATGTTTGGAATTCTCCATGTGTAGTTTGTCAGCAGATACAAACAGTGCTGAACATGTGTGAGTGAGCCTGTCACGCAGCCCACATTGCTATGTGAGTTCAGTAGAAGGTGATTGCTCTAAGGCTGCCGGGAAGTTAGACCATGATGCTGGTCTCATTAGTGCCTGGCCCTAGTCTAAACTCCCATATCGATCACTTTTCCTGAATAGCGAAGGGGAAAGAGTGAGCAGTTTACTGTATGAGCACTGAAATTGTGACTCGTAGTGAAGTGTTTTACTCTCCCAGCCCAAGCAACACAGCTTACTTTTTTATCCCTTGCTCTAGAAAGCACCTGTAATTTAATTAACAGACTGCCTGTAGGTATAGTGCAATTATGAATGTTCTGATTGTTGTACATACGTCTCTCTTGATATTGCAGCATCCATACTGGCTTTGTAATCATTAATTTTTGGCAGATTGAATGTGCTGTATTGATATGTATCTATGTAATTGTATTGTATGTCTTGTAGCTAATTCACATTTTGAATAATGTTATTTTATTTACTTTTTTAAGAGAGGAGAATGTAAATTTGTCAGTTTATTTCTGACTAGGGATATTTTTTTCCATTTAGAAAAAAAGAAAAAAAACCCTTATTATCGTACAGAGCGGTACTAGCATTGTGCTGTCTAAAATCATTTGCACATTCCTGAGTAGAGGTGTGCTGACCTAAGACCCAAAGGTGATTTCATAGCAAATACACAACATCCGTCGGAGCTTTTATACAAACACGGAGACCAACTTTGTAGACCTTTTGCCATTTGACCTGGGGTTGGAATATGAGCTTTTATACGATTCATATTCTTAATTTGGCAAATGCACAGTTTAGCATTACCTCTCTGGTGGCCTTTATTAGAAAGGCAGTTTTAGAAGCTATTGTGATCCACTAGGGAAATGTTTTATCAGCTAGAGAACACTGCTTGCCTGAAAGAGGGCAACCTTAAATTTGGTGCAGCAAAAAACAAAAACAAAAAACAAAACAAAAAAAAAAACAAAAAATAAAAACAAAACAAAAAAAGAAAAAAGAAAAAGCCAAAAAAAAAGAAAAGAAAAAAGTACCATTTGATGGCCTACAGTGTATAGAGAAAATCTCATCACAGGATCGTGAGTGTTAACAGTCCTCGGGAACCGTGCTATTCTATTTAACAGAGCCGTAGTAGATGTAGTTGAGTCATCCTGGTCTCAAGCTCAGAGCTGCTGAGCAAAGCAGGGAAGGTCGCCACATTGTCTTTGTGAATCGGGGATGGAACTTGCTATGCAGAATTGAAGTTTGTGGCTTCGCTGCTCATCCTGGGGTGCATGACAGGATCCCTTCTTTTGAGAAAGGAAAACATTGATCACCCTAACCGCAGTGATGCCTAGATACCTAATTGTATCCACACTAGTCAATGAAGCTAAAAATAATTTTTGTTGTTGTTTCTTGTTTGGGGTTTTATTGAAGGGGTGAGGGGCGGGAAGGGCTTCTCAGTTTTGTACAAAACCAAGTTTACTCATGCTCTCTTCTCTTGTGATTGCAAGCGCTCTAAGCTGCGGCACTGACTCCTGGCGTTGATGCTCTAGATAACAGAGGTTTGTGGGGCGATTATGGCGACTCGGGCATGTCTTTCCACAGCATACCAAGGCAAGCAGCCATCTCGTCAGCCACTCAGCACATCACAGTGTGCCGTTTACAGATGATGTCTCCCACCCACAGAGAATCCCTATTTGTAAATTGAAGGTTTATAATATGCCTTACAGAGCTTAATTCAGAAGTCCGTGCCTCATACCTGAAACAAAGGGAAGAAACAGGCCCATGCGAAATCAATAAGTCCCATAGAACCTGTTGGGTTTTCCTTACCGTTTCCATAGGAAAAGCTCTGTTGAGTGTCCTGAGTAGCTGGGAAATTCTTAGGAACCTGCATATGTTGTTTACCGGCAGGTGGCACAGGCGATATTTAAAGAGTACCTGGAACATAGGGGCTTGGGGGTTTTATTTTTGTTTTGTTTTGTTTAATTTAGATTACATTAGCAGGCCTAATAGTTTTAAAAGGTAATTCAGCCAAAGGGCAATTTACTTTTTGTACTTCAGACTTATATTGATTGTCAAGTTGTACGAATTGTAATTCAAAAATTTATACTGCCACTTGATTGTAAATTTTAGTTGTCTTAAGTGGGAATTGATGAAAAGCTGTTTATGCTGGATTTGGGTCAAAATGACTTGATTATTTGCAAAAAAAATAAAAATACTAATGGGAAGAAAGGGCTGCACAATAAGATATTGCAAGACTCAGGTCTTGGTTGGAAATTCCTCAGATCCCCTCAGATGACCCCATGCCCCTTTGTTTTCAGTTTCTCAAAGAGCGAATGAAGTGAAATATAGCAGAATGTTAACCCATATAAAAATAAAGTGTACCCAAATATTATAATGTATATTGCTGCTCTTCTTAAAATTAAATAATGGTGTTAAATAATGGTAATTAACAGCATCTCAGTTGATACAAATCAGGTGTGCTTGGGCGTACATTAGTATTTTATTCCAAAGAGAAATCTTTGGTTAGAAACGCATAAAAATGGAAGCAAATAATGTGTGTTTATCCGTCCTTGCACATGTCCAGCATATGCAGCGTTACTAGATATCCTGGTACTTGTATCTTTGGGATTCCATTTGGGTTCTAGACAATTAGGAGAAATAAATGACTTGGTTGTATATGATACCGCAGAGGTTTGGGGAGCCAGACACCCACCATCCCACAGATAGCTTACTGAGCCTCTGTCTTTCTCAAAATAATGCTGTCTCTGCTATCTTCCCGCTGCCACCACCCTCCCATGACGTTCTTCTAGAATCATCTATCTGTTCAGAGTATGCCTGCACACCTGATGCACAGTAGGTGCTCAGATATGTCCTCCCACCCTTCCCTATCTGCCATGGAGCCTCCATCTCCATAAAATTTGAACTCAATAGTTAATAATATTTACATGCTACAAAAGCAGCTCTTTTTAAAATTTGGATCTTACTTAAAGGAATTCTAGCTTTCATACAAGCTTTAATAGGGAGAAAGATTGTTCAGTGAGCTATTTTTAGGGTTAGGAAAGAAAGTGGAAAACTCTTAAGTTTGTCTGGGTCACTTTCATTGAAACCCATTTCTGGCGGATTTCCTCAACAGACTCTATTTGCAGCCTCTGGCCGGACTCCGCATCCACCCTCGTGTTGGAAGCCCTGACTAGGTCTGTGTACTTAGGGAGTTTTGTCAAAAACATTTTTAACTTGCAGTATTTAAAAAATCATATTTACTGTTCTTAAAATGTCATTCAAATGCATGTATTGTCTATTGTTTGGGGATGGGAACTAGTTTTGCAAAAAACACCTAATGTTGTATAATAATGCCCCCATGATCTTACTGGTTAAAAATACAGTATTTTTGGCCATAATTTTGTACTACAGCATTCTTCATTCTGAGTTTCGCTTCCCCTGAAGTTGCCTAAGCCCTTCTGAGAATGCTACTTATTATAAAAAGAATTGGAACACATCTTTACTTCTTTAGCAAACTTCATAGATCCCATGTGTCTTTCCAAAGTATGTAGATTTAATGGTTCTGAAAGCACACACACACAATAGCCCTTTCCCATCTGTGTACAGCCAGAAATGTCAGTCCCTGTGGTGCAGACATGTACTGCTAGAACTTATCAGACCTGTTCTTCTAAAGCCAGCCCCTGGTTAATTGTAATCTGTTGTTTGAGAACATGGGTAGCGGCTGTTCAGTACAGGCTTCTGCAGAGCGGCTTCGCCTCGCCCTGTTGGGCATGCAACCCTTAACCCTTGCTCTAGATTGTTAGACAGCACAGAATATCCTGGCATGAGAGTCCTGTATCTGAATGCTGTCAGTAAGCAGGTCTCCAGATGGGAAAAGGACCTAGCACAGATATCCTTTGTGACATTGGTGACCACACACATCGAAGGCTTTGAGGTCTACCAGGAACTAGATTTTCTTCCTCTGGGAATCGAAATTTTAAAGTACAGGTGGTAATAGCAGGTGTATTTCTAGAAAGCAGGTGCTTAGGTGTGGGCTGCAGAGCAGAGTAGAAGCCAGACCTGCTTCTGACCATATGATCAATGGCCCAGGCCTTCCTCCCTCAGACTCCATGTTAGAGGACAACCGTGACGTGTTCAGTAGGTACACAGAGCAATCCCTGATGTTAAGTTGTCTTAGCAATCAGTTCACTTGTAGTGAAGGGTGAGTTTCAGATTCGTTTTAATTGTTCAAGAAAAGTGATCTGGAGAGATGGCTCAGTGGTTAAGAGCTTTGCCTATTCTTCCAAAGGTCCTGAGTTCAATTCCCATCAGCCACAATGATGGCTCATAGCCATCTGTAATGAGGTCTGGTGCCATCTTCTGACCTGCAGGCATACACGCAGACAGAATATTGTACACATAAAAAAAAATTAAAAGAAAAAAAAGAAAAGTGATCTAGATACTCAACCTTGTTTTCCTTCCATGTTGAGGGAATTGGTACCAACCCCATGATACTAACTAGTTACTTATACATTAGCATCCCTTTGTTTCATTGTTGTGGTTAATTTAAAACTGAAAAAAAAATGGTATTGGCTCCGACTACTAGAAAAAGCTGAGCATGGGCCATTTTAACAGACCCCTGCTCCCAAGAGGTCCCTGAAGAACTAGGTCCTTGTTATAAACTGGAGTTTTGTTATTTTGGTTTGGTTTTGGGGTTTTTTGTTTTTGGTTTTTCGAGACAGGGTTTCTATGTAGCTTTGGGGCCTGTCCTGGAACTAGCTCTGTAGACGAGGCTGGTGGATCTATAGGCTGAGCTCAAACTCACAGAGATCCACCATCCTCTGCCTCCTAAGTGCTGGGATTAATGGTGTGCACCCCCACCGCTCTGCTAAACTGGGTTTTTAAAATACATGTTGCCTAGGAAAAACCGAAAAGATGTTTTCTGTTCAGTTCTCCTGCCTCAACACTATTGAAACGCCATCTGTATTCATATCCTCTCTTCCTGTTTTCCTCAAGAATGCAGTTCAAAGGCTAGAATATTTTTCTGCCTCATAAACCTGAGGATGAAAATCAAATCATCCTCTTTAATTGAGAAGGTAATTCCATTGAGCATGTTAACAGAAATGAGTAGCCTCTTCTGTCCCCACTTTGATGTCCCCTGCAGTTCTGTAGGGACAGAACCTGACCAGAGGTGAAATTGTGACTGCCTGTCCAGTTAGCCCAGACGTGTGTATGGTGTATCTTTAAAACGTCTTCGGAAGTGAAGGACCAGGAGAAGCACACATACAGACAGAACACTGTATACATAATGAATAAATCTTTAAAAAAATAAGTAAAAATAAAAATTTAAATCTTACATTCCAAGTAACCACTAGCCTCTGTGCTAACTTCGTGAAATCATCAGATTGGACAAATTGCAATAGCTAATACATGCTGTTTGTAAGGAGCACACTGAACAGAAACCGATGGTCCAAGTAAAGGAGACCCTGGCTTCCGCCAGTTTTATCCCCTAAAACAAGCAAAAGCCTGGTTGAAAAACAACTCTTAGGTCTGTCAGACTGAGACCACTGTTGTGTCGCCCCCACCCCCACCGCCCTGCTCAAATGGAGACAGGCAAAAAAAATGAGACACAAGTTACCAACCAAATGTTACCAAAGCCAGCACCAAGCGTGGAAACACTAGGCGATTACTAGCCAACCAATCGAATATTTGAATTAAAACTTCAAGCAGAGAACATACTTTTGGTGAGCTTAACTCCTCAGTCTTGACCCACAACCATACTGTAAAGATCCAAGACTCTCTTCAGGATGAGGGGGGAAAAAACCACTCTGATGTATAGGAGAACAAATTTGTACTTCACAAGTTCACAGATCTTTCCTAGATCATATTAGGGTTTTATCAGAGCCTAATTAAACTTTAGGAAAGAAAATACCCAATTGCATACCTCAAGGTGCCCTGACCCACTCGAGACAAGAACACGAGCAGGCAGGAAAGAAGCCCACAACCCAGAGGTACAGACCCATGGGAACACTGAGACCTAATCAGAAAGCCCTCATCCCAGCCCTGCCACACACCGCATCAGTAAAGCCTACCCCAATTCATGGTGTTCAGATTGGAAAAACAAACTTAACAGAAAAAAACAATTCCCTGACTTAATGCTAAAAGGCAGGGCTGGATGGGATGCAGTTCATGGAGGCAGAGAACTCATATATCAGATCGAACTCAGATATGGCAAGGAAGTCAGAATTATTAGAGTGAAAGATGAAAATTATGATTATCCTGCCTGCTTACACCAACTTGACACAAGCTGGAGTCATCAGGGGAGGAGCTTCAGTTGAGAAAATCCCTCTATAAGCAAACCTGTAGGACATTTCCCTCCCTCCCTCCTTCCTTCCTTCCTCCTCTTTTTTTTTCCTTCTTTTTGGTTTTTTGAGATAGGATTTTTCTAAATAGCCCTGTCTCTAGACTAGCCTGACCTCAAATTTAAAGAGATCCACCTGCCTCTGCTTCTCTAGTGCTGGGATTAAAGGCGTGCGCCACTTTCTTAATGAGGGATTATTGTGGGCAAGGCCGATCCCTTGTGGGTTGTGCTATCCTTAGGCTGGTTATTCTGCTTCTTTAAGAAAGCAGACTGGGCAGGCAATGTGGGGCAAGGCAGTGAGCAGCACTCCTCCATGGCGTCTGCATCAGCTCCTGCCTCCAGGTTCCTGCCCTGCTTGAGTTCTTGCCCTGACTTCCATACAATGTGGAAGTGTGGCCAAATAACACCCCCACACTCCACAACTTGGTTTTGGTCATGGTGTTCCATCACAGCAACAGAAACCCTAAGACAATGACTGATAAGTTATGGACTCTTAATTTAAAAAAAAAAAGGAGACAGCATAATGATTGATGGATAAGGTAAACTTGGAGGTGGGAATTCTAAAAATACTCAAATCATGACATGCTAGAAATGACACTGAATGAACAATACCCTTTAACGGACCAAATACCAGTAAGGAAGAACCTCTGCATTTGAGATTAAAGCAACAGATGAAATAATCAAAAAGTAAAGTAATTTTGCTATCTTTAATAACAGATATAATAGTCAAAATGCAAAGTAAAGCCAGCTTGGTCTACTGTATCTTTAAAAAAATGCATGATGCATATAACAATATTTTGGGGAAGTAGAATTTTCTAAACAATGTTACATGCTCACGTTGAACTCTATGTTTTAGGCATGACACAGAGATCCTCTTAAAACTGGGTCTATTAGCCCCTGAACTGGGGGGGGAGGGGAGGAACAAGGTCATAAGAAGATTCACTCTCAATCTCCTGTGCCCCACCACCCTTCCCAGTGAAACATAATCCCAGGAGGTGCTGGAATAGAAAGGCTGGAAAGCTTGCTGGAAGGTGCTCCACGTATGGGAGGTC